GGTGAGCTCAAACCCTACCCTAAAAATTCCAATTAGGTTTGATTCGGTTGAATCTAGGCTAGGGACCTTAGGGTTGAGAAATAAAACCCGATTTAACTTCAAATTGGGTTAAGGCTGAGCTATTTGGCAGCCCAACCCAACCCAACCTGAACCTACCATATTTTCATATACATCATATAAACATGTATACAAGCATGCATTCGATTTTTATGCAACTATGTATTATCAACAATACATTTTCAAGTTTAGTGGCAAAAACTTTTAGTAGTATAAGTATAAATCACTATAATTTTGTTCTTTTACATGCAATATTGCTAAAAATTTAGTCAACAATTTTTTTTTTTAATTTTTATTAGTCATGCATTTATTGTGCACATTTATTATGGCTCTACTTATAATTTTTTAATATTTTAAAAAATGTTGCAAAATTCAATTCGTACATTATTAGATGTGTGTTCCCTCTTCGTTTCTTCATAATTTTGTTTTTCTACTGAATGGTCTGTCACTAATCCACCTTTCTTCTAACCAGTCTCCAATTTCTAAAACCTATCCTTTTGGCAAAAAAAAGAAAAATAAGTAAATAAATAAAATAAAATAAAGAAAAAGATTGTTCTCTTGTATAAATATTTTTTTGTTAATTGAGCTTATGCATCATGGGTAAGTGTATTTATTCATGTCCTTTTATTTTCTAGGTAAATAAAATAATGACTGTTTTAGTCATGAAAAACCATTATTAAATGGGGTAATTTTGTACCATCCAAGTATTGGCAATTTCTCCCAGTTGAGTATCACTTACCCATACAAATAATACCAAAGAAAATGAATTTTCCATGAACCCTACATAAATTTGAAAAGAAAAAAGAATATGAGCATCTAGATAATACGATTTACTGACTTTTCCCCATATCAAAATCCAAAAATTGAACAGGCCCTATATGCTATATGCAAACCCAACAATGTCCAGAGAATAGCTAGCCAAACGTTATACTAGTGCACCATCTACTTCACCAGTTCGGTGGTTTTACTACCATGGACCAGTTTTTTTGGGTGATCTTAATTTTTTTTTATGCATCTGAGAGGTTAAACCAAGGGAGCAAAATGACTACCTAAAGCGTCTAAAAAATTATGAACTTCAGATCACACGATAATGAGGCAGAAGTATCAAAACATCGATGGTGGCCTTGGTTGGTAAGCCAATCCGCAGCTTGATTCCCCTCTCTCAGCATGTATTAATACCTAAAGATGTTTGTCTCCCCTCTTGTCCTTAAAATTCCTCCTTTATATCGTGACATTTCCATACAGCCTTATATGTTTCTTGTAACGTTTCTATCGTAATTCTCGAATCCCTTTCTATAATCACCTTAGGTTGTGTTTAGTTTGAAGGAAAAAGTAGGGAAAGAAAGAGAAAGGCAAGAAAACTTATACAAAATTTATAAAGGTTTTCCTACCTTTTCCCACCTTTCCTTCAAACCAAACATAGCCTTAGGGTAACATGGATCTTTTGCAAGCTTGGGGCTTCAAAGCATGCCCTCATTTCTGCTACCATTATTGAACTTTCTCCTATTGGACCTGCTAGGATCCTTAAAGCTTCATCTTTGTGGTTTCTAGCTATGTAATTGTAGGTACAATTATTATTTCTTATTCTTGAGACATCAAAATTTTTCTTTATGATGATCTTAATCTTAAAGTGCTTCTTTGCATTATTCCAGTGACAACATTTTGTCTTAGGTTTCTTTTGGAAATGATGCAAATGGAGTGTAAATCCGGGTTCAGGGTAGATTTGCACTTTGATTCACTTTTGTATGTATTTGGCAATATTACATTTTATACATTGACGAATGATAGACCAATGCATAAATATAAAAGTACATCAATAAAAAAGAAGTAAATTTGCATTCAAGTGGGTGTGTGATAAAAAAAAGCATATAATTTTCCATTACAACTAAAAGTCTGTTTGAAAATAAGGTAAATTTATCAGCGCAAAACCAACCCAACTTTGCAATTTATATGAACCCTTTTATACTCTACATATTTGCATCGTTTTCAAATACAGCCTTAATTTCCGCCTTCTTCACATCCATGCCAGCTCTTAGAACAAAGGGGATCTAGAGAGATATCATGTATCTTTCTTCGTTGAAACTGTTTTATTTTCTTTGGCTGCAAACCTAAGGAGAGAGAGAGAGGGAATTAAGAATTAAGGTTTCTCAATTCTCAGCCATCCCATTTTCCTACCTATCCTCTCCCATTTTGCAGAAAGTTCATATCAACAGCCAAAAGCATCCACCGCCCATCCTTAAGCCTTGTACTTTACACGTGACGGAAGATGCGTGATTGCTAGTACCTTATCAAATTCAAATAAAACTTTGATTTTAATTCTGAGATCCAAATTAAATTAAAGACAACCCATAACGTATCACCACTGGCTGAATTAAATATGGCTTGGACGGTGAAAGTCGGTTGGTCCATGGGCCGCTCGTCCAAGGACAGATTGTCTCTGTAATCATCAGCCCATCTCTAATTGTGTGGTTAGGAGACGCCCAAGGTCAAGTGTCAAGACTCAAGAGTGAGATGATAATGGAGCAACGGACGGCAGAACGATCGAATACAAACAGCCGACCACACACTCCCTACAAAAATGTTAATCCACCATGTTCACGTCTCTGCCCACGGGGTAGAATTCTTGAGGGCAGGAGATCCGGAGTTGTCCATGCCCCTTACTGGAGATACGTATAGAAGAAACGATAATTGTCCACTTCCCACTAAACGTTATCATCGCCCATCATACACATTATTACATGCTTCTCTCATGACAAATCAATTACTGTAGTTTTATTGAATTTAGAAAAGGAATATTCCCAATGTTTAACCATTTTTAGTTTTTGTGAATGCTGAAGTTTGAAAGAAAATCTTTTCTTTTTTTTTAAAGGTACTTGTTTATGTCGATAAAGTATAGCCAGCTTTTATTTTGTGCCTTCATCGCTGTAGGGAAAGCTCTATGTCTATGGGCTGCCAATATCGCGGCAAGAGTGACTTCTTATTGGCAAGTTTTGATTTTTATTGTTTGTCAAGTCAGAGCAATTGTTGCGTTGGTCCTCATTGATTTTGATTTGGAATTTATATACCTTCTAAATTTTATAAATTTCCGTTATTTTGGACCATTGGCTTGTAATGATATTTGTTTCTAAATTTCTAAATTTTATATTTAAATATGAGTAAATTTCTTAAATTACCCTATGATTACGACAAAATAATAATAAAAAAAAACTATTTTACCCTTCTATTTTTTGTAATCTGTGTAAAAGGGTTATCTCAGTTGGACTGGTTTTCCGGCGAACTCCTGATATGCAAAGAGGGGAGGTGGAGAGGGAGAACAAAGAGGAGAAGGGGGCGCCACTATTGGAAGTTGCAGCGGCGACGGTGATTTTGTCATCGGAAACGCTGAAGAAATCACCAAAAAAAAAGAGTTTTATGGAAGAGTTTCTGTAGAAAAGTTCACTGAGAAAAGTTTCCGAATCAGCGAGTCCGTCGAGTGAGATTGGGAGCTAACGGGACCATATGCTCTGCTTTTGACAATGTCTGAAACCAGATTTGCATCTACTACTACTGCTCCACCAGATCTGTTCAGATCCGCTCAAATCTACTACAACGACAAGGAAGAGAACTTCTAAGCAAGGCTATTTCCACTCCACTCTACTGTACAATGAATTCTACACTGAACACTCCAACCAAGAAAAGAAAGAATGAGGTGTAATTTATTATATGTTACAGGTGAAGTCAAAGGGTGGGACTTGAGCACAGAACTCTGAGCTACAACCAATCATCATCATCCTTTACAATGGCAAACGACTGTGGGCTAGTTGGTAAAGTTACATGCATTTGCAGCCCCACCAGTGGGCAGTGGTCACCGGAGGAGGACGATGAATAGTTTAATTCACAGTTCCACACAGTAGTAAAAGTAGTTAGTAGAGATGATTTTTAAGCTGCTCGAGAATCTTGCGCATGGGTGAAAAAGGGAAAGAATTTCATGTGTTGCCCGCATCACTCATGTTAGCCTTTTGGACTTTCTACTCCATTGCTGCTGACAGCTTTTCCATTTAAAAGTGGGAATCCTCATTCTTCGTCATAAACTAGTGTTACCAGTTACCACCATGAGAATCCAATGCGCAGTTTGACTGTGTGTATGTACCTCAACAAGTGGCAATTTCATACTCGCCCTTTAAACTGATTGATACCGGTTGTACTGTTCAAAATGAAAACCTTCTCCCTTCTCCCTCTGTTTGACATTTATTAATTTGTAGCCATAATAATTAATTAATTAATGTAAAAATATTTTTTTTTTCTAGGAAAGAATCAGAAATGAGGAGAAAGGAGGATACGTAAGAGACTAAGAGTTATGTACCTTACCACATTCGATCTCCACCGCCCCATCTGGAGTGGAGATGAATAAGACCCGATGTAAGAGGAGGAAGAAGAAGGTCCTAAAAGTAAGAAAGGACAAACGCAACAGGAGTGGAAGCCGGGATTCTTGAAAGATAAATTCCAAATGCTTTTGTGCTGTGGTGACCAGCTTAACACATGGCACCGTCCTAGTCATCCTACATTGACCACTGATCCTTGCTCACGCCTCCTTACTCATCACTCCGTCACTCGCAGTTGTGATGGTGATTGGTTAATTAATTAGGCCCTGTTTGATTTACGGGAATAGGGGTCTGGAATCGGAATTGGAATGGGTTATTCTAATTCTAACTGTTTGGTTGGGCGAATCGGAATCTCATTTCCCTCAATAAATTCCTAACTGTTTAGGAGTGCTATAGAGAGGAAGAGAAATGAATGGAGGAACGAAAATGATTTTTGGTGGAATAGGTCCCACCGGCCAGGAGGTCACCACCCGTCACTGACACACTATCCCACGGGCCACGTCCTCCCTCGAGGAAGGAAAAACCATATGTCCAATGAGCCAATGGCTTTAATTAAAAATAAATTTCCCTCAATAAATTCCACTCCACATTGGTACCCCATGTACATTCAGGCTTTATCTCTCGAGCTCACACCTCCTCACTCCCAAGGTCTAAGCTCAAAGAATCCGAAAAAAAAACAAAGAAGGGGGAGGAGAAGCTAATTTCCCTGATCAAAGCAATCGATCAAGCAAGACCAAGATGGAAAGGAAAGATGATGAGATTCGGTTGGGCGTCAACAGGTACTCTGAGAGGCATAACATAGGAACCACAGCCCAGAGCGATGACCGGGACTACCAGGAGCCACCACTGGCGCCTTTGTTCGAGCCCGAGGAGCTGTCCTCATGGTCCTTTTACAGGGCTGGAATCGCCGAGTTCATAGCCACTTTCCTCTTCTTGTACATCACCATCTTGACCGTGATGGGTGTTTCTAAGTCCAGCAATAAATGTGCTACTGTGGGTATTCAGGGCATCGCTTGGGCTTTTGGTGGCATGATCTTCGCTCTCGTCTACTGCACTGCTGGCATCTCAGGTTAATTTTCTTTCTTTCTTTCTTTCTTTCTTTCTCTTCTTCTTCTTCTTCTTCATTGATCCACACACCCCAACTTTTACCCTCTTTTTGTTTTTAAGGCTTCGTATATCTAATTAAAAACGTGGTGGCATGGATTCAGGGGGCCACATAAACCCGGCTGTGACATTTGGGCTACTGCTGGCGAGGAAGCTGTCGTTATCCAGGGCGCTGTTCTACATAGTGATGCAGTGCCTCGGTGCCATTTTCGGTGCCGGTGTCGTCAAGGGTTTCCAGAAGAGTCAGTACGAGATGCTCGGTGGCGGTGCTAATGTCGTGGCTAGTGGCTACAGTAAGGGCGATGGTCTTGGCGCTGAGATCATCGGCACCTTTGTCCTTGTCTATACCGTCTTCTCCGCTACTGATGCCAAGCGTAACGCCCGAGACTCCCATGTTCCCGTAAGCTCCTCTCTCTCTCCATGTTTTATCGTGTGGTGTGGATCGAGCGGGTTTCCGGAACAAGGCAGTGAGCCATAGGGACTACTACCTTGGAGTTTCGATGCTCTTGACTCGTATGAGTTAACAGGTCTACGTACTCCGAGGTTTTAGTTTTAATTTGTGAGAGGTTGTTTGGGTCATGAATTGGAGGTTGACGTGTATATTAATTCATGTGTTAAATGGAACAGATATTGGCACCATTGCCAATTGGATTTGCAGTGTTCCTGGTCCATTTGGCCACCATCCCTATCACGGGAACTGGTATCAACCCTGCTAGGAGTCTTGGTGCAGCTATCATCTACAACAAGGACCATGCTTGGGATGATCACGTAAGAAGCTCTTTCCTTTTCTTTTCTTTTTTAGTTTCATAGTCCTGAGGATCTGAGCTAGCTCTTATCATGATATTGATCTCTCATCACTATTATTTCTTAATTCATTCCCCTTCTGCCCGGGCCATTATGGGCCATTGGATATGTTATATGTAGTAGGCCAATGCTATGATTAGAACATGGGAGGCTTTTAAGTTTTAAGTTTTAACCATGCATCCACCCTTTTATTAGTTAAGTTAAAAAGCTTCCTGATTAAAAATTTAAATGCTGGGTGCAGTGGATTTTCTGGGTGGGACCCTTCATTGGAGCAGCACTTGCGGCTTTGTACCATCAACTTGTGATCAGAGCAATTCCATTCAAATCCAAGTGATGATGAGCTTGGTTATTGGTTGCTGTTGATTTTTCTTCATCAATTTGGCAGTAAAGATCTAAACGGAATAAGAGTTAGAGGAGTGGTTTCTCCGGTTCTCCTTGCTGTTGGTCATCTGTGTTGTCTTTTGTATTTTTGCTTCTTTGGACATGTATGTGAGAATAGTGGGAACTTATCTCTGAGGGACTTTCTTTGTTTATCATCTCTATAATTGAGAGGTGGTGGGTGGGTGCACTGCATAGATAAAAGGGCGATGGAGAGGTGGGGTGGGTCCCTATTGTCTCTATCTCCTTATTAACCGCTGTCCGCTGTGTTTCGTTTGGTGCACAGTAGGGATGTGTGGCTGTGAAGAACTGTACAGCAAGAAAAGAGAAAGTCCACTATTCCACCAACCCAACCTGACTTGCCCTTGCCAGTTTACCTACTACTGTTGCTAAGAACAATGTAAGTTATATTATTGTTGTGGGTTCCATACTTCCATTGCAATTTCTCCCTCTGTGCTCTATAATCTTTGTGTGTGTGTGATCTGACGTGTAAGAGATATGTTAAAATTTGGAATTTGGTTTGAGACAATAGCCATGTGAGAGAGCCACGGGCTGAGTGTGGTGAGGTAGGAGTTCAGATTGGGGCGCCCCACAACGTCCTACAGCACATCTCAGTCGTGTATTTCAAAGTTGAAACATCTCCTGATAATAAACTAAAATTGATGCTATCTTTCATCGGGGAGATGTTCTTAATACAGGGCAGGAATGTACTGCGGGACGTTGTGGGGCGCCCCTTATGCGCAGATGTGAACTCGGTGAGGTAGAGATGCACCCTGCAATTGCTTGGGTGATGGGTCCATGCATACCGCCCATAAGTCATATCCCCATGCCAATAAAGTGGAGTATTAAACGCAAAGGCAAACTATTCTGTCTTCTACCTTTTACTTGCTTTTCTTTTTCTTTCATGTTCACCCATTCAAAACGTAACTATTAACGTCACGTCCCTGTGTTCACTTTTTTCTAACCCTTGGCTTCTATTGTCGCATTACCCAATTTTTGCATTGTATCTAAGGATTCATTTGGTTCGTATTTAGAATTAGAATCAAAATCTCTTGAAATTGAAATTGGAATGGCCTATTCCTATAGTCTGTTTGGTTCAAACATGAATTGGAATAAATTAAAATAAAAATAGAATTTCATTTTCAAGAAAGGAAAAGGAATGGCCATTCCCTCAAATGGGAAAATGCCATTCCATCAGAAATGAGAATGGAATTAAGATTTCACTCAACTAAACAGTTGGAACTGTAATGACCCATTCTGATTCTAATTTTAGACTCCTATTCCTGTAAACCAAAGAAAGTCTTGGACCACCACCACCACCTGATCTTAAGGGAGGGCCTAACGTAGAAATTTGGTGGTATCTACTGCACCGAAGTAAGAGGTAACAGTACATAGGTGGAAAGCAAAACTGTTACTGCCCTTCTGTGGGCAACAATGCCCAAGGTAGAAAAATTTCTTTAGACGTGGGCCTTTCTTTGGTTGATTAGATAATAAACATTATAAACTAGGACATCCTTCTGCTTCTAGGGTGGTCTTATTATTTCTAGGGAGCTAGCTAGGATTGCCTTCCTCCAAGGGCGGGTTGGGCCAGGTCCAGGTCCATGTTAGAAAATCATGGAGTTGGGCTTAAGCTACATTTATAACCATATGAGGGCAATTTGTTTATTCCCAAAATTGAAGCCCATTTATCAAGTAAGGACTAAGCTGAGTCCTGACTCCTGAGTGGGACGACTCGACTTGATAGTTATGCACTTTACTTGAGTGCTTTCAAATTGTACATGTAGCGTGAGATAATCTCATTTCTGAGGGATCGTTAATCGTGGGCATGCTAAAAAGTTTGGAGGTTTATGACGTATTGATCCATTCTTCATATATATCTTAAAAGGGGGATTTCCTAGCAAACGATTCACCCACTTTTTTTGCTCAACCCGTTCAATAACGTGTTCTACCCTAATTCTATAAACTTGTAATTCTACGTTATACTTGCAGCTTTAGAAAAATTACTCAACTATCTAAATGAAAGCAAGAACATGTCAACCTTTGCACTGTTTAGAGGAGTAGACTTGACTAATAATTAACTTGGATCCAACTTCTTGTTTATGTAACGATGATCGCCAAGCTTTCGTCCAGTATTATAAAGAGGTTTGTGGTATGGGCTTATCAATAATGAGGCCCATAACAGAAATGGCATGAGCCACGGGCCCAGGGCCCAAGGTTTTAGCTTACCATTGTTTAAACCAGGTTCAGCTTATTGTTATTTCAAGTGTTCAGTTAGGGTCTTAAAGGCTGCAAACGATATTAGATTTTCCGAATTTGAATTCTAAATTGATGTCTTTATAATCGGATTGAATATTGATATCCCCTTATTCTGACATAGTCTGATTCGGTTACATATAGGCTGTGTTTGGTATGAAAGAAAACCGTACCTTTTCTTTCAAACCAAACACAGCCTTAAATACACATGCTTATTAATTTAATATAAATGATATATAATATTTTGGTTATTTTTAATTTAATATCCGAATACAATCCAAATTCAATGTGGATCCAATATAAATGCAAAGGATAAGACTTGATTCGAATCCGAATATTAAAAAATCAAATATAATAGCCTCAATACGCCTTGCCCTCTGCCTGCTGCTCCGTAGTTTGCAATCATGCAACTAATGGGCCGACTCAAACTTGGAAGTTAGAGAGAAAGAAGGAATACGAGTTGCGCATAGCTCAATTTTCTTGCCAAGTCTGTAGGCCTAGAAACCCAGCGTGGACCCATGTAGCGTCTGGGGTGTGGACCGTTCTAGGCCCATGCCCAGGCAATATCATAGCCATGAACATGACTATTCTTTAGTCTTAACTCTCTCTCTCTCTCTATTGAAACAAGTAAACGTTTAACAAAAAATTACGTTGCAAGTAGGTTTTCTAGTAGAAACATTACACGGTGTTGCACTGCTAGCTGATTGAGTCGAAACAAAAACACCAAAATACATTAACACACAACTATGCCAACACCATCTTAAATTATAGTAGTTTTATTTATGTTTTGAGGGATGCTACCAAGCACTGATCCGGTCCAATCAATCAATCGATCAAGAGACTAATCTCTTTTGTTTGGGGTGGTCACTAAAAGCTATTTCCCTTAAACAAGGGCACCTCAGTTGAACAAATTCAACCGTGGAAAAGAAACTGACCACTGAAGAAGGCAGCAAGAGGCTTGGCCAAACTGATCACTGCGTACTCAGGGGCGGAGCCAATAGGAGTCATGGCCGTTCCCCACCCCCACCCCCCAATGGTCCTGAAATCTCCACTTGTAATACACTATTTCATGTAAATTTCCTCCTCCTCCCCCACTTTCCACCCCAATGGTAGGCCCTTTTATGGGCCCTATTCATATTTATCCCCCACCCCCACCCCCTGCAATCCACTTTTGGTTTTGGTCCGCTCATAAAAATTCCTATCTCCACCGTTGTGCTTACTGCCAAGCCATGGTTGAGACTAGGAGTGGATTTGAGCCGAGTCGAGCCAAATAATATGAGGATCGAGCTCGGCTCGCCAAGGTTGTATAAGGCTTGAGCTTGAGTTTGGGTCGAGTCAAAACTCATAAGCTCAAGCTCGGCTTGGTTCAAGCTCAATTTGAGGAAAAATATTTTATAAAAATAAAAAATATTTTTTATTTGATATTTAAAAAATATAATTATAATAATTAAGAATTATAATATTTTTATTATATATATTATTTTTTATAATTTTATTATATATTTATATATTTATATATAGGCTTGAGATCGGCTCGTTTATTAATTGAGCCTCCAAATTGGGCTCAAGCTCGGCTCGAAGCTTGGTTAAAATCAAGCCGAGCTGAGCTTGAGCAGCTCGTGAAAAGCTCGGTTCGTTGCCACCCCTAGTTGAGACGTTAGTCTTCATATATGGAACTATGTATTTGGTATCAAGGAGGCCATACAAGCACCTAAGGTGGGCCTAACAAAAACGACCAAAAGCAAAAGTAGGCAAAGAAAGAGATATATGGCTGAGGGGAGGAGAGAAGAACGCATGCATGGCATAGTTTTCAAGGCATCTAGGCGATTATGGGCAATACTAGGGTGCCTAGTCACCTAGGCAAAAAAAAATTTATAATATAAAAAAAAACTGACTTTTGGCTAGTTTCCTAGTTTTATATACATTCAACATGTATGTTAATTGAAAAAATAGCAATTCTCTTTATTAAGAACATTAAATTTCCTCTAAAAATGTGGCAAATCATCACATCTAAAAGATAAAAATCTTTTACATATATTTACTTCATTATTTTTGAAAATAATACTAATATAATGAGTATTTAATAGAGCAAATTCATATTAATTAGAAGCTAAAGAAGGTTATTAACTATATATTATAAATATTCGAGATAGAAAGTGATGGAGGGTGATTTGGCCCGACCTCGTAGCCCAAGTACACGTGTGCGTGACCTTGCTCAAACGATGACTTAGCGCGACAGCACAGCAGGCGCAATTGTAACTCGGAGGGAACGTCCCACCGAGTTCAGCCCGGCAACTCGACAGAATAGACTAGTCGCCGGGAGCCGCCTAGCTTGCACCGCCACCCCGGGGGCTAAGGTACCCCGAGCTACCTCCGAGCTCAGGGCCCCCTAACCTTTCCTAATACCCGAGCTCCTCCTAGTGGATCTCGTACCACTCCCAGACAGGAACACACCGATTCACCTATAGACACCCCGAGGTGAAGACACCTCGGGCCAGACAGATCAGCTTAGCTTGCCACAGGCAGCTCGCCGCTTCCGAGGTAGCCCGGCACAGGGTAACTCACGGAAGGGTAGTTCAGCGTATCGCAAGAAGACCTCCTGCCCGACCATCGTACCCGACAAATCTGGGGGCAACAGCCATATCCCTCGTCAGACAGCGTCGTGCCTGCCACCTTTAGAGGGTGCCTCACACCTGATAGGCACGTACCCTACGATGACGGCCCCGTGCGTGCCACATCAGCCCCTGCCAGTAACGGTTGTGGCAGGCTGACAGTGGCGATTATACTTGCCCTGTCAAAGGCCAGTGGGCCTGATGCAACGAATTTCTGTTATAAGGAGCTTATTATCAAGGGAGAGGGGTATGATCTTCTACTCACGTGCTATCTGCACTCTTAGCCTTCATCTTCTCCTTGCTTCTCCTACAGAATACTAACTTAACCATCAGAGTGTTCCCGTCGGGCAACCCCCCATGGATTCTTCTTCTTCTCCATCTCAGGTACCTTCCAAGAGCCACGTAAGTGCCAGATAGGAGTGACCGGATTGCACACCATCAGAAAGTAAAATAGAAAAAAAATAAGGATGGGATTTCTATTTTATTTAATTAGAGAAAGAATAGAAAAAAAAATTATTATTCAATTCTTTCTTTCTTTCTTTTTCTCTCCTCAAAACCCTTTGATCTTTTAAATTTCAATA